TTTCGACGCCTTATCAATTGTAAAAAGTTATGTAAAAGGTGATGAACAACAAGCATTTACATATTTCCCTTGTTGCAATTTTAGTGCTTGTTTGGAAGTCTATAAGATGCTAGAAAGTTCATGTCAAAATCGGGAATTAAGCCCATGTTTGAACTCCACTAAAATAAGATTGTGGGGGAAATTAAGTTTTGAAGTAGTAATTCTTTAGAGAATGTGGTTAAAAAATAAGAAAAAATTTTGAGTTTATATGTAATATTATTTTAGGATAATTAGCACATAACGTCCCCATCTTTCACTATTATTGTAGAAAATATCTTTACCTTTCATTCTTTTTTTGTATTTTCACCTTTCATTGCACAAATTATCTTTTTCATCTATTTTTTCAATTAAAATTGTGAAATGATGAATATATCATTTTATTTAAATAAAACAAAAGGAAATAGAAAAACTAATTACAATTATAATCCCAACTTTTCTTAAAAAGCTCAAATGAGTCCCAAATAATGGCTATGTTTCTCTGATTGTGCTACATGTACATCACCACTTACAGATTTGATTTGATCACCAACAAATGATGTGGCAAAATTTGATTGAGCCAAAATTTCATCAACCAAATAAAAAGAAAAAACTCTCGACTTTCTTTTTGACACCTCATCAATTGTAAAAAGTTATGTAAATGGTGATGAACAACAAGCATTTTCATATTTCCCTTGTTACGATTTTAGTGCTTGTTTGGAAGTCTATAAGTTGCTCAAATGTTCATGACAAAATCAAGAATTAAGCCAATGTTTGAACTCCATTAAAATAAGATTGTGGGGGAAATTAAGTTTTGAAAGTAATTCTTTGGAGAATGTGGTTAAAAAATAAGGAAAAGTTTTGAATTCATGTATAATATTTTTTTAGGGTAATTAGCATATAACGTCCCCACCTTTCACTATTGTTGTAGAAAATATCACTAACTTTCATTTTTTGGCATTTTCACCCTTATTTTCACATTTCATTGCACAAAATGTTTTTTTCATCCATTTTTTCAATTAAAAATTATGAAACGATGAATATACTATTCTATTTAAATAAAACAAAAGGAAATAGAAAAAACTAATTACAATCATAGTCCCAACTTTTTTTAAAAAGCCCAAATGAGTTCCAAATAATGGCTATGTTTCCCTGATTGTGCTACATCTACATCATCACTTACAGATTTGTTGACCAAACAAATGATGTGGCAAAATTTGATTGAGCTAAAATGTCATCAACTAAATGAAAAGAGAAAAGTCTCGACTTTCTTTTTGACAGCCCATCAATTGTAAAAAGTTATGTAAATGGTGATGAACAACAAGCATTTTCATTTTTCACTTGTTGCGATTTTATTGCTTGTTTGGAAGTCTATAAGTTGCTAGGAAGTTCATGTCAAAATCAAGAATTAAGCCCATGTCTGAACTCCATTAAAATAAGGTTGTGGGGGAAATTAAGTTTTGAAACAGTAATTCTTTGAAGAATGTGGTTAAAAAATATAGAAAAGTTTTGAGTTTATATGTAATATTATTTTAGAATAATTAGCATATAACGTCCCTACATTTCACTATTGTTGTAGAAAATATCATTACCTTTCATTTTTTGACATTTTCACTTTATTTTCACATTTCATTACACAAAATGTCTTTTTAATCCATTTTTTCAATTAAAAATTGTGAAATGATTAATATATCATTTTATTTAAATAAAACAAAAGGAAATAGAAAAACTAATTACAATCATAGTCCCAACTTTTCTTAAAAAGCTCAAATGAGTCCCAAATAATGGCTATGTTTCCCCGATTGTACTACATGTACATCATCATTTACAGATTTGTTGACTAACAAATGATGTGGCAAATTTTGATTGAGCCAAAATTTCATCAACCTAATAAAAAGAAAAAACTCTCGACTTTCTTTTTGACACCTCATCAATTGTAAAAAGTTATGTAAATGGTGATGAATAACAAGCATTTTCATATTTCCCTTGTTGCAATTTTAGTGCTTGTTTGGAAGTCTATAAGTTGCTAGGAAGTTCATGTCAAAATCAAGAATTAAGCCAATGTTTGATCTCCATTAAAATAAGATTGTGGGGGAAATTAAGTTGTTTTGAGTTTATGTGTAATATTATTTTATAGTAATTAGAGCATAACGTCCCCACCTTTCACTATTGTTGTATAAAATATCCTTACATTTCATTTTTTGGCATTTTCACCATTATTTTCACCTTTCATTGCACAAAATGTCTTTTTCATCCATTTTTTCAATTAAAATTTGTGAAATGATGAATATATCATTCTATTTAAATAAAACAAAAGGAAATAAAAAAAAACTAATTACAATCATAGTCTCAACTTTTTTTAAAAAACTTAAATGAGTTCCAAATAAATTATTAAAATGGTAATTAGCACATAATGTCTCTACCTTTCACTATTATTGCAAAAAACGCCCATTCTTTTTTTTTTTTTGGCATTTTCACCCTTAATGTAAACATTTGATTGCACAGAGCATTCTTTCTATCAATTTTAGCCCAATTTCTCAATAAAAAATTGTGGAATGACGAATATACCCTCCTATTTAAATTAAAAAATCTAAAAATCAATTGCAACCATAGTCTCATTTTTTTAAAAAAATGCAAAGGAGTCCCCAATAAATTATTTAAAAAATTAATTTTTTTAAAAGTGCAATCGAGTCCTAATTAAATTTATTTAAAAACTAAAAGGTACAAACTAGTCCTAAATAAATTATTAAAGAATTAGAAGTTAAAAAATTTATTTAAATAAGAGTGTATATTCATTATTTCACAGTTCTTTATTGAGAAATTAGATGAAAATAATGGTTTATGCAATTGAATGTATAATTAAGGGTGAAAATGCAAAACTAAATAAATAAATAAATAAAATGAAAGATATAGACGTTTTTCGCAATAACGGTGAAAGGTAGAGGCGTTATGTATTAAGTACCCTTTTAATAATTTATTTGGAACTCATTTGTGTGTTTTTTTTAAATGAGACTATGATTATAATTAATTTTTTTCTTTTGTTTTATTTAAAGAGAATGGTATATTCATCATTTCATAATTTTTAATTGAAAAAATGGATGAAAATGACATTTTGTGTAATAAAATGTGAAAATGTCAAAAAATGAAATGTATTAATGTTTTCCACAATAACAATGAAAGGTAAGGACGTTATATACTAATTACCCTATTATTTTATAAGAGAATATGTAGTTGAAAATGAATTTTGAAAAAAATGGAGCCAAAACGTGAACTTCATGATACCCACAATCATTATTCATTTTCAACATCTCAAAAGTATTTTAATTTAGGAAAATGATTGTTATATATCACAATTTATAGATTCTTTTACAGATTGATTAAATGACAAAAAGAGAATGTAAGAACTCTTTATTATCTTTTGGTTGTTGAGGTTTTGACTCAATCAAATCTCGGCACATCATTTGACACCAAATTTGTAAACTATGATGTATATGTAGCACAATAGTTAAATTTAGCCCCTATTTGTCTACTATTAAAATATTTTTTTTAAACTCATTTTCTACCAAATATTCATACAAAAAAAATATTTTATACGTGAATTCAAAATTTTCCCATTTTTAAATACATATTTTTCAGAAAATCACTATTCAAAAACTTATTCCCCCCTCCAGACAAGAAAAAAACTTATTAAAATGATTGTTGAGGGGCTTAATACGGTTTAATTATTTGAATGTTCATTGAATTATATCAAGTGTTATTACTTAATAACTGAAATTAAAATAATATATAAATGGTCACTGAGGTATACAAAGTATTTCTACTTAATCTATGAGCTTAAAATTGTATCTCAATGATTAGTGAACTATGCACCGTGTTATCATCCATCACTCAAGTCGACGTCATTTGTTGAACGTAACGAATCTTCTACGTGTCAAATTGATTTCCTACGTGGACGATAGTAGACATCTAACCAAATTTACTAAGCAAAAGGTGTTCACGAAACTTGATTTTCAACATCTTATTGCTGAAAAGAAGACCCTATTATTCCTCGATAAGACATTGAAAATCACAGCCAAAATTGTGTTTTGCAAACAGCTTTGCTTATGTGGATTTGGGTGGATGTTAATATGATCCACGTAGAAAATATATTTGATACGTGGAAATAATAGTTCAACAAACAGCATCGATTTAAATGATGGATGGGTAACACGGTGCATAATTCAGTGACTGTTAATACATAATTTTAAGTTCAGTTATTAAGGGAGTGTTTGACACCCATTTTAATGGGTTGAAAATTTTTGGAATAGTGATTGATTGGAGAATGTGTGGTGGAAAAGTAATGAAAAGTTTTAGATTTGTGTGTAATATTATTTTATTTGGAGATTGTGTGGTTGAAATGAAAAATGAGAATGAGAATGAGAATGAGAATGGGTTTCAAACATGGCTTCGATTTAAATGATGGATGGGTAACACGGTGCATAATTCAGTGACTGTTAATACATAATTTTAAGTTCAGTTATTAAGGGAGTGTTTGACACCCATTTTAATGGGTTGAAAATTTTTGGAATAGTGATTGATTGGAGAATGTGTGGTGGAAAAGTAATGAAAAGTTTTAGATTTGTGTGTAATATTATTTTATTTGGAGATTGTGTGGTTGAAATGAAAAATGAGAATGAGAATGAGAAAGAGAATGGATTTCAAACAGGGGCTAAGTAGTAACACTTGATATAATTTAATGATAGTTAAAATATGATTTGTAGCAATTGTTGTACTTGATTGACCATTCGAACAATCAGCCATGCTTAATACTTGGATCCTGGCTGTCTCGCAACAAAATTCAACGCCGCTATATTTCCGCTGAGTGGGTCCTCATTTACTGTTTGCTTAGTTCCATTTCGGTGTCTGTTTCGGCCCTTTCTTACTACACTCGTTTTCATAAAATGTATACCAGGTTGTAGAAATAGACAAACTGGACAGGAGTCGCCATGGAAACCAAGAAACTAAAAGAAAAATTACATGAGATGAAGATCCAAAACTTTACTGATTCTCATTCTTCATCCAAGGTATTTTAAATTTTAATTTTTTTTTTAATTTCTGCCTGTGATTTTCGTTCTTGTAATTGTAACCTTTTATTTGATAGGAGAAGAAGACAGTGCAAATGGGAACCAAGAAAAAGATAGTTACAAAGAAGTCCAAAACTCTCAAATCTAAGCATAATGGAGTGAGTTGCTTTTTTTTTTTTTGGTGTTATTTGTGGTTCTTGAATAATGAATAGCATGATGGTCTATTATTTTTGCTGATATTATTGAGTTTCTTTACAAAAAATTTAGCTCAGAGAAAGAAAATTGGAGCAATTTTAAATGTGGGTTCTCTTGGTTTTCCTATAATATATATGTAATTTGTTCTGCTTCGTGTCTTTTGGGTGACCGAAAGTGCGATTTGGTCGAACTTTTGAAACCCTAATTTTGTGACGAACTAGAATTACGCCAGATTCCGCTAATTGGTGAATGAGGTTGTACCAAATCTTGTTGCGTGGTTTCCGATTTTCTTTATATTAATTTCATTTTTCTGGGTTCGTGAAAATCTATGTTCCAAATGGTAGCTTATGACCGTGATATAATTGAAGACATTTGATCTTACAAAATCTCGTTTAATATTTTCCACATTGTAATTTATGGGACTCTTTGTTGGATAAATGTCAAAAAAAAGTTGGGGAATGTAGAGGCCAAAGCTTAGCTAAAGTGGTAAGAGTGAAGCCAGGTCAACGGGACTAGGTCTGAGCGGCTGAGCCTCCTTTGGGATTGTTGGAATTAGAGGCTTCAATCGACCAATTTTCGGGCTCAGTCTACCTTCCAATCGACACCTAAACAAGTGACCTCTAACCTTCAAACTGTCCCTCACTTTGGTTGCTACCAATATGCCCACTTAGAACAATGAAGGAGAAGGTGTTTGCAGCCACAAAGGCTAAAGGCAAGGAGAAGATAACAAGACTCTCTCACAAACCGGAAGCACAAAGCAAGGTGAAAGGAAGCTGTGTTCTCTCAATTGCAAAGGCAAGTCACACTTCTCAAATGACCAAGACAAGAGAAAAACTATATATGGATCATTTAGGGCATAGTGATGGGCCGGCCCAACAAGAAGGCAAAGAGTGGGCCAAACGAGCCATCCATAAAGTGAGGAAATCGGGCCATGAGCAACTCTAATTAACTAGACTGCTTCCAATGGCCCAATATAGTTTTAGGGGCGGGTCATCAACCTTAGGTGTCGATATAATAATTATTCAATATCGATTTTACATCATCGTCCGGATTTATTGGGTATCAAAACGCAATAGGGATGAGCGTGAAATCCTTTGATCTCCTTTAAGAAAAAAAGCAGGGGTATTTAACGGGTGAATCATTCGCAATGACATAATATTACACACGAAATTCATGCGAATTATTCTCCGAAGTTTATTTACATTTATAGAATTTTATTTTCTCATCATTTTCTAGAAGATGGCTGGTAGTAGTATATCGTTCTATATGTTTCTTGAAATTCACGTATTGAGTCTCGGGTTCCGTTTTAATGTTTAACTTTGTATAGAGGAGTAGCTCAATCCCATAAATGTCGATTATTGTTTTTATCTAGACCCAATGTGGATTTACCCCTCACATGCCCCAGAATATGGTATTCAGTCTTATGATTCCATCTTAAAAGTTCAACAAGAGGATTAGTCCAAACTCTTATATATGATAATCGTTTCATATTTAAGTAAGGTGAAATTTTACCTTTAAAATCACGTTACCTGCGTAATCAAGGCCACCCCTAAGATATTCGAGGCCCTGGGCAATAAATTATTACGAAACTCTTTAAATATAATTTTCTATTAGTGTATTGATCTCTTTTGTATTATTCACGTTCTATTCAAATTGATTTTTTTATATTATTTTTGAAAAATTCAATGAGCCATTTTAAAATAAATAACTTATTTTTAACTTTCATAAAAATTAATTTTTTTAATTTTTTTTAAAAAAAATTATACTAAAAAACTATAGGAGATTTAAAAAAAAAAAAGAAGCTAGTTTTGGGCCTCTTATTTAGTCCATCATGTTATTTAGTCATGTCTTTTAAATGGAATGAATGATCTCACTCAAAACATAAAGGAATTTTTTTTTTGAATTTTTGGGCTTTTAATTTGTTGAGGCTCCTCAAGAATTGAGGCCCAAGGCAATGACCTAGGTTGCCTTGGGCCAGGCCGGCCTTGTGCATAATGTATTAGTTGGATATTCAACTTGATGTCTCATATAGTCATATAAATGATCGTTGTTTATCTTAATCCTCTCATTAGCCCATGCGATGTGTGAGGAGACTTAATGCTTTACGTGGTTTAGAATATATTCAGTAAATTGACGCAATTACCTGTATTCTTGACTAGGTGGCTTCAGATAATTCAAAGAAATCTGGAAGGTCAGCAATTTATTTAAATGGCTTTACAATTTGGATTATTTTCTGATTTTGTGATCTACCCCAGCATTGTACGAAAGAGGGCAAGGTATAGTGACATGTATGACGATATTGAAGCCCAATTTTCGGTTATGGAGCGAGCAGATAGAGTGCTGGCTAGTGTAGCGAGTGAAGGCCCTAATTTTATCAAGTGTATGCTCCCATCAAATGTTTCTCATGGATTTTGGCTGGTAAGCCTGAAATTTTACACTGTTTTTAAGAATATGAGCAAGTTTGGCTAAGCTTAAAAGCTATTTCTCTCAGAAGTTAAGAGAAAAGAATTTAAAATTATATTTGACAAATAAGAGCTAAAAATCAGTCATACATCTTTTTAAGCTTAGCTAGATGTGCTCTACAACACATTGGTGAACAAGATGGAGCTCTATGCGCTAATGCTTTTAATGACAGCATCTGCCTAGGAAATTCTGCAACCTACACTTGCCGAAACATGATTCCACTGTTGTTTTGGTGGATGAATGGGGAAATGAATACAAAACGTCTTATTTACTGGAGAGGAATGGTTTGAGTGCTGGATGGAAGGGTTTTTCCGTATCTCACAGGTTACTGAAGGGAGATATATTGATTTTTCTTTTGGTCGAACCTTGCAAATTGAAGGTTATTGTTTCATCATTTGTATGTGTATATATGCTCATATGAAGATTGAAGATTACTTTTCCATTCTAAAGCATCGTGTTTTTGTAGGTGCACATAGTGAGAGTTAATAGCTCAGACGTAGTGGATGCAGCACTTTGCCTTATGAATTTGTATGCTCGTGGGAGAGGCACGGATGCGGGTTCGTTTTTCTTCCCGTTTGTTTATCTTTCTCAATGCATGAAATATTATCCAAATCCTGCTATGCTATCAATCTCCTATGTTTGTATTCTTTGGCATTTTGCATTTGGATGAAGATCTCGTGAAGAAAGACAATAAGAAGCGTAAAAAAGCAACTTCTGTAGACCCTTTTGTGCTTGTAATATCTACACCGCCAGAGAATGTTCAAAGCAAAGGCAAAAACACACCAAATTCTGTCGTTGAGCCTGTAGCAAATCAATATGAAAGTAGTGGTGATGGTTTTCGCTCTGAAGTTCTTGAAGGTACGCAGTTGGTTAGAAATATATTGAATTATGAATCGAGAACCCTTGAAATTATAATTGATCCGGGAAATGGTATTTGTAGGCATTGACAGCATGAACGACCCTAAACTCGCCCACTCGAGTTCACCATACCTACATGGCCCATCTGGACAAACTCGCAAAGGGATCACCTGTAGGTAGAGAATTCCCAAGACTGATGTTTTTTTGGCATTTGCTCAGATCGATCTGAGCACGTTGACTATTAGTTTTTTGTTTCGTGAGACTTGATCCAGAGAGGTACGCCAAAGTGCGAATTTATCGACGTTGACCTTCAAAGGTAAAACTAACCGGGTAATGACAATGTAGTAAATGTATAATGCTTTTGTAGGAACTTGCTTATCAACTTATAAGTAAAAAGTGAAATAACATATTTAAGCTTTAAAATAAAAATTGGTATGGGCTAGTTTTCAATTGTTGTAAGAAGAAATGAAAGTCCAAAACAGAAGGCACGATAACATGAATGGGCTGAAATACCCAATAGGAAATAAGGATCAGACCATTAACCACAAGCGTAATGCGAACTGAAGAAAATTTGAGGAATAAAACTGCAGTGGGAGTTATTCAACCCATCTGGTCAATGTCTAGGGTGATTCATTATTCGTGCTACTTTTCTCTAGGTGCCAATTTGGCAATTTCAAAACTTCATGGACCAATTTGATATTAAACAAAAAATTGATTTGCCAATGTGATCTGTGCCGTCGAGATATGCTACAGCAACATCAAGTTTCACAGCCCTCACATGCAAGGGGTGGGGCCTGCGATTAAAATAATCATGGGCCCCACCCTTGTGAGAGGCCTGTAAAAAATTGGTGTGAAACAAATGCTTTACAATCAGCATTTCTGGCCCTTTTTCACATTGAGGTAGATGGTGACTAATAGAATTTTGATTTTTAATTTTAATTTTTTTTAATTCAGTTCAATGTGTACTAGAGGTATGGGACCGGAATTCATTAAAGGTGCCAATAATTCATTAACCAGTGTCCCTCTGGATTCTCGAAAATTTGTTTACCTTATAAAGCAAAAGGCTAATTTAATTTTATTGAGAATGTGTTGGACTCCAACAAATTTGATTAGTCATGGGGTTTGGAGAGTGGTACAAATGTGAATTGTTCGTATTAAAATAATAATAATAATTAAAAAAATTTGTGGTAGGCTCGTTTGATAGAGGTTTAACATCCAAATTGTATATAGAAAGATGCTACAATTACAGAAAAATCAATTCTTTAAAAATCACATAATAGACACATTGGAGGCCCACTCCCATGTGAGTATTATGTCAAAATGATAGAAAAAACAGTTCTGTACAAGTGGGTTTCTCCTTATATATATATATGTACGTCGTGAATAAAAAAGTACAAGTAAAGCTCAAAGCACCTTTCAAACTTCATTAAAATTTATGTCATGAACAAAGAACCATCCAAGCTACTAATCTTTTTGTGCAATTCTATATTAGCAAACCTTGATATCAAAAGCAACAAATACCACGTGTAACCTTGAAATGCAACAAATCATATAGAAGTATTTACTCTCGCATCTCTATAAGTAAACTCACTAATTACAATTTCGTAATCAATATGTTCTAACAAATCTTGTTCAATAGATATCAAACAAGTGTACTACCAATCAAACAAAAATGTAGAAGACTTACGAATAAGAAATACAATAATATTAAATAGGAGTCATAACTGTCTATTTGTCTTATTTCATATCACATATGACTCATCCAAAAGGCAAAACTCAAAAGGAAAAAATTGAATATAATCACTTATCAATTATGTCCAACAAAAACTTGCCTTTCTAGAACCAAAAAAATCCTGAAATAGCAATTAACAAGTGGACAATGGGCACCATTAGAATGGTGATGTTACGATGCAGATTGTCCTATCACAGAGCAAGTAACAAAGATTGACGGTAGAGTTTTTTCTCTTTTATATTTGAATGTTTTTCGTAGGTTAAAGGGTGGGAGAGATGGAAATGACAAAGAGGGAACTGGGGTTGTTTTTCACTCTTCACTTTAACCATTTGGATTTTTCATTTCGGGCTGTTTCTTGTCTTTTTGAGTTGGTAATTGTTTAATAAAGCTAATTTAGCATTTGGGATTGAGCTAGTAAAATTGATAGTTTAAAATAATATTTTTTTTAAAGCAAGATAGTTTAAAATTAGAAAAAAAAAAGTATTTTTTCCCAATAATATGTTAAATTTAAAAAATATTAATGTAATATAATTTGTTTTACTCTATTTTCATAAATATTATGCCACTTAACTTGACGTGATAACAAAAAATTTAAATTTTAAAATTTATATATATAACCTATAAAAATTTTTTGGTGCCCCTACAATGATGAAACTCTGCGCGGTTGCTCGACTCGTGAATCCTCAAGACACCCTCTGTGTACTTGCGTGGTTGCTCAACTCGCTCATCATCAAGACCGCNCACATTGAAAATATTGGACTCTTCGTAGGTTCAATTCCTACGGGTGGATGCCAACGGACCATCTAATAAGCCTATTGGAATTGACTCTGTATCGCTGGAATCTCATCATCCATACATAAGGCAGGGCTAGTGACTGGAGTGAAGTCATAACAGGTAGTCGTATTGGAAGGTGCAACGAATCACCTCCTTTTCAGGACAGTATTTCATTGCTACAAGTATGGATTATTGAAAATAATAATCTATGTATTTGAATATTTCTCTTCAACCAATCATGTCAAATAAATATAGAGTTGGTCAGAACTTTATCTGGGTTCTAATCTTACTAAAAGGTCCACTAGAGATCATAAAGGAAATGGATGTTGGATTTTTGCATTCTTGGTTAAGTATTTTTGTCAACCTTGCTATAAAGATTAGAGAGATACCGAGGTCGAAGAGGTATACGGAAAATAAACTAGAACGAGATTGTACGGAGGAAGAGATTCAAACTCTCAAATCAAAACTAAGGGAACTTAAACAAGCAAAAAGGAAAGTTGAGATTGAAATGGATGATCTTGAAGTAGAGATTCAAAGATATTAAAGTGTATTTGAAGAAGCTAATAATTCATGATCTCGAAATCAGAAATACTGATATCGAAATGATTTTGGAATCAGTCGAATTATAAGACGCGAGCAAGTGGAGAACTTCATTTCTCTCTCGTCGTCTTCTTTTTCGTGTTTTTTTCTGATCACACTCACGAGTAAAAAGGAAATATGACTCCAAAATTTAAGATGTGGATAGAGGAGGTGGTGGAAATGAAAAATAAAGGGTATTTTAGGCTTTTCGAATGGAAATGTTTTCCCTTTTTCTTTGGTTTTAGTTTCCCAAGAAAAAATAATAATTTTGAGTGGCATTTGTGACCTTGACATGCAGTCGAAAAAGGCACCAATAAGTACTAGTTGTGACCTTTATTTAAAGACATAGACGATAATATTTGCAATTTGATAGGGACGTGCAACAAACACTAATAACATAAAAGGAAGGGAAAATTGTAGTGGCAGTCCCCAACTGTCAAGTGAATTGCACTTAGGTACTCCAGTACTCAACTTAACAAATGTAGCAATCATGCCCCCAGCATTAGGTGTTAGTAGCAGTCGAGATCCTTTTGACAGTTAAAATTACAATTTTCTATTAAAAAAAGAGTACTATTACTCCTATTTATCATTTAAACAAAAAATTAAAAGAAATGATAAGAAGAAATTTTTTTTTTTTTTGCTTTGTCGAAGGGGTGACACGGGACGAAGTGCCAAAGAGGCTATTAAATAGCTATTATATGTAATATACCAAATCACCCTCAAAAACCACTCATGTCCATGGTATCCTGACAATGCGTCGATGAAAGTTTTAAAAAAAAAAAAATCCAAAATTTTATTGATACAGAATTAATCATCGATCAAGTTCAAAACAATAGATATGTAGGTCTAAACAATACGGATGAAGACTTTCTTCGCATATAATTTTTAAAAATTATAAAAAATTCTAGACGGCTACAGCTTAGACGTTTAGAGGTCCGTCATAACTAGGAAACTTAATAGGCGGAAACTTGCATGCAGTTTACCAAAACAATAGCTTACAATTAGCTTCTAATTTCCCAGTGACTCTTCAATTCCGTCCATCAAACTCCAATTTAGTTCCAATTCCTTCCTTTTAGTCGGTTACTCAATTATAAACACAAATTATGATCGAATTTCGTTATATAATCAGGCATTAAGTAAATTTAAAATCTAAATAAATATTCATTTATTTTTTGATAAATATACGGTGGGCAAATAAGTAACTTCATGCCCTGCCAATGCATTTCTTGGACATAAATCATTACTATAGATAATATGTGCTAATTATGAAATATCATAATAATCCGATCAAAAAAGTTGGTGACATCTACGTGCTGTGATGAACAAAGATCAAAGACTTTAAGTGCAATTAAAATTATTGCATCAAATAAAAACTTACGAGGGATTATATTCACACCACAATCTTCTAAAAGTTCACCACATTTGAATAATATTAAAGGTTCCTAATCTTTATTCATTATAACATTTGTGTCCCTAACTTTATTTCATCAATTTTTTATCTGACTCTTGATTAATTTGCAAATCTTGTCCTTAATGATGATTTTTTCCCCAAAAATTTTGTCAACATGCTTCAAAATAGGAGATAGGAATAAAGAGTAATTTTGTAATTTTTTTATCGCTTATTAAAAAATACGACTGAAATCAACATTTTTGTTCTCTCTCAACGGCAATTTTGGACAAAAACTCATTATTTGAAACATTATGTGAAATTAATCAAAAGTTAATAATAAGAATGCAAAGAAAAAAAGTTGGACATGAGCATAATAATGAATAAAGGTAATGATCACTTCATGGAATTAGACTATGGTGCACCTAAAAATAATATGTGGTGTGAATAGTAACTTATAATTGTCCATATTATTTTTGGATTATTCTTTTTGTACATTTGGATGTACATAAGGATGTCCATAATGGACACTCGGCACCCCCCTATTGGATACACCCGACATCTCCTTATTAGATGGAGTGCCGGCCCCACTGATACTCCATCCAATAAGGAGATGTCGGGTGTCCATTATGGACACCCTTATGTACACCTCGATGTACTTGTAATAAAGTCCTTATTTTTCCCTATTACTTCTCTTTTTACTGAATTTACCTATATACTCATAATCTGTTTCCTTGCAGTCGTGAACTTTGGACCGATTTATTTAAGAAGAAGTTCTACCTTAATTATAAAAGTCCACAAAGGTTAGGGACTTCTCTGCAAATTTTCCTTTTCCGCAGTTACGAACGGCTAAAACACCGAATACGAACACTTCTCCTCATTCTACTAGTGTCCTTACAAATACATCTTCTTCCAAACGGGTTTGCTAATTGCTATGTATAAATGCAGATCTTGGTATAAATTTTTTGTATATGGACATACGTTATCAGTAAAATAGGCCAAAGAGAGAGAGAAGAATTTTCAATGCATGCAAGTAGAGAGGAAATTATGAGCGAAAAGAGTCCGAAATTTAGTAAAATTTCAACAGAATTAAGGGAAGAAGAAGTTGAGTTCGAGCAGCGAGAACAAAAAGAAGAAGGAGAAATCACAGGTTCAGACGACGAAGATTTTGACTACCCATCGGTATTTCGGGTCCCTCCGAACCGAGTTGATTCCTCTCCTGCGGTATTTCTTCGCTTACTGTCTCTCATTTATCGCATTCTAGTTCACGGATTAAGATTATCATCTGATCTGAAGTTATTTAAGAAATAAATAATTATTTTGTGTCTGATTATTCCCCCAGAGAAAAAAAAAACAAAAAACTTGGGAGAAATTATTATGTTTGATGAAGGAAAATAAATAAGTTTGAAATAAGTAATTATTCTAGTTAAAGTAAAAAAAAAAAAAATGTAGCTTAGCACAAGGAGAATACTCCGGGGTTTCTTATTGTTTAATTTAATAAACTGTGTGTATGTTGAGTTCAATCAGCAAGAAGAAAGAGAAGAAGGAGAGATTATTTCCAGTTCAGAAGATGAAGATTATGACTATCTATCAGTATTTCGGGTCGAGCCTAACCGAATTTATTCTTCCATTGCGGTATCTCTTTGCCTATTGTCTCTTATTCTATTTTTATGTCCAAAATAGAGGGAATTTTGTGAATATTTGTAAAAATAAAATTCTAAAGATAACTTTGGAGCTGTATTGTTTTTAAAAGGAATTGGTCGAATATCGCTGGTTCCCTGCACGTACTAGCAGTGTTGATGCACTTGAATGTGTGAAAAAGGTTTATATGTTCGATGAAGTTTGGAAAGTTATTTTAACTGAAAGAGATAGGATTCCCTTTTTAAAATAGTAAATTTTCAGTTAAATTTTTATTTTTTTCAAAAAAAAAAAAAAAAGCAACTTAGGAGACGACTTTTTAAAACTATTCAAATCCTTTTAATTATTTTTAAGGCTTAGCCATCAGTCACAATGATGTTCAATTTGATTTTTGATCAGAAATGCACTACTTTTGTTCCCTCTGTGAAAGTGGACTAATCTGAGCATGCTCACATGGAGAAAATTTTGGGGTTTCTTATTGGAAAACATTGTATATTCGCAAATCAATTTTGGTGAAATATTCTATATTGTGGTGTTGTAAGCCGAGGAGAAATGAATACAAGCATAAGTGCGTTCTTGTCTAATCCTATCATGTTAAATTAAATGTTTATACTACTGGCAGGGTCAGTTGGATACACCATTAGGGGCTGATGAACGGCCTTTGGTGATGAAGAAGAGGTTTCAATGTCGCGCATACAACGATAATTATGACATCAAGGAGGTAAGGGGCATGTTGCTTTTCATTTTGTTCATCCAAATTTGAGGCGTATATAGAAAATTGTATGAAGTTTTTCGATTTTTATATAAGCTGAGAAAGCTCAGATTTGGCTTCAATTCCTTAAGCAAGGCAAACAATGGAATTTGGAAGTCGAAGTTGGGAATTTTGATTTCTTGATGATTTCATGCGTTTGATATAATTGGACCCGGAACGTATTATTTGCATTATGCTGAATTATATTTGTGAATTGTATATTTTAGAATGTTCAGTCAGCATAATATTTAGTTGGTTCCATCTATTCCTACCAGAAGCTAATACAGGAGCAAATATTGTTGTTTCGTTATTGATGAAAATTGAGTTTTTAATTATTATTTAGTTAGTATTTCTTATTAAATAAATTTTAATTTTAATTCCGTGTATTTCAAATTAGTTCTGAATATTATGGTTTTTAATTTTCGTCATTATCTTTTAGTTTTAATATTTATCTAGATTTTAGTTATTACTTTAAATAAGGGTTGTCAGCCATCATAGCAATCAGTGGTATTTGAAATAAATATTATAGAGCTTGGAGTTTTTCAATCTTTTAAATTCTTGATATTTGATATTTAAAATCAATGAATCTAAATTTTCTGTTTTCATGCGCAAACTAAAGAGTTTGTGATGCCTAGATTTCTAATATTATTAGAAATCGATAAAAACGGGAGGTGATCGTGTTGCAGTATTCGTCTAGAATCAATAGTATTTTGCGGTTAAGATCAAGAATTCTGTATTCTAGTCTGATTTTGACCGCAAAGTTTTGTTGATTCCAAACAAATACCGCAACACGATCATATTCTAGTTTTTATTGATTTCTAAGAAAAATCTAGGCATCAAAAACTCTTTCATTCGCTCATGATTACAGAGAATTTGGACTCATTGATTTTAATTATCAAATTTGAGAATTTATGAGATTGGAAAACTCCAATCTATAATATTTATTCCAAAAATCGTTGATTGTCCTCATGAGTTACAATCCTCATTTAAAGAAATCTAGATAATTAATTTTTTTAGATAATTTCTAAAATCTAATTGGTTAAAACTAAAATATAATGATGAAAATTAAAAGTCCAATATTCCGAAATAAACTATAAAATTCGAATTTATTTAATAAATAATGCTAATTGTATATAATGGTTTACATACGCGTGATGTGGTAAGTCATGATTGTGTCAGAATTTTTTCAAAAAAAAAAAAATTCTCTATATTTTTGAGACATCATGTGTATATAAATCATTATGTATATGTAGCACAAACGTTATTTAATAAAGAAATATTAACTAAAAAATGATTAAAAACTCAATTTTATCACTTACCTTTTGCTATCGTAGTTATGTATAATTTTGTGCTGAATAAGCGTTGCTTCAGTGCGAGGTATAAACTTACCGTGAATGAAATTAGATAATAACTTTCTTTGATTGATGTGGAGTATTGACAATATTGTTTTCTATACAGGCAGTTCACTTGGATTTTAGGAGCTCTAAAAAGTAAGCGACCTCGTGTCGACAACTTTTAGAATTTTGATAATGCGCAATTAGAACTAAGACTTTTAGGAGATTAGAAGGTAAGAAAACTTATTTAATTGTCTACCTTTATTTTTCTCATAAACAGGACAAAAAAGATGGAAATGATGGACAATGTCGACGAGAATTTCCAAGTTAACTATTCTTCAGTAATGAAGAGATCAAAAGAGGTTCAGGCAAATCTGGACCCCGAATTCCCTAGCTTCTTTAAGCTAATGCTGCGTTTTTCTCAAGAATTTTGGCTTGTAAGTGTGTAAACATCAATAAAATACACAGATTACCAAATGAGGCTTAATTCACATTCTCTTCTTTCGTGACAGCGTATTCCTTCACATTTCTGCAAAATGCACTTGCCAAAGCATGACGAAACAATTTGTTTGGAAGATGAAACTGGAGAAACATATGAAACAAGCTACTTTGCAGTTACAATGGAACTAAGTTCTGGTTGGAGAGGATTTTGCATTCGGCACAACTTGCTTAGAGGCGACGTTGTTGTTTTCCATTTGGTGGCGTTTTGCAAATTTAAGGTAATAATAATTTTGATTCATAAAAAAAAATATTTGGACACATGTGAAACTTACTATTTTTCTGAACTTGTGATCTGGAAAGTAAGGAAGAAAAGTGTTTCAATGGTAGGCGCCTATACCGCTGTTACAGAAATTTGCTACAATAATTCGTCACAGAGTAACTTTTTGAAAGGCATAAAGATTGCATCAAAATGTTGATATATCCAAATCAAATAAGTAAAATAGAAATAACAGCTTTAATTAGGATAAATGAAACACTAAAATTGCTCGTCGTTCAATATAACAGAAGTCAATCAAGCAGAGTTTTGATACATGGAATTTAAGAGCTGGAGTCAAGCACAGAGAGAGAGAGAGTTGGGTTTAACTCATGCATTGAATTTTCTATCTTGATTAGCTTCCATAGATTTAGAAAAAGAAACTGATTGAGATTATGTTGGGAAATAATGATTAAGTATACTTCCATTGGGAAATAATGATTATTCAGCACTCTTTGGATCTTCTTGAATTTATGTTGGTTAGATTTGTCATGTTTTCATCAAGCCATTTTCCAGGTATACATTGTAAGGGCAAGCACTTTACAGAAGGTTGATGAAACTACTGGCAATTCAAATCTAGATGCTAATGCTAAAGAAAGAGACCTTAGTAAGCCTACTTTAATTTTCGTCCTCTCTCATCTCTAACCCTCTAAATCTGCTCTCTCTGATATCTTTATTCATGTTTTCGATTCTCTTGATTATTCAAAACTATTGGAAAATGGGATTACATGATGGGAAGAACAATACAACATGTGCTAATGTGATAAAAAATTCTCGTCTTTCTTACATTGGAGAGAATGATCAAAATCAGAACTTGACAAAAGTAGAGTTCAAGTGAGGAACATTCTTCCAGAAATGCAGATGCTGGTTTTCAAAGATCGTTCATTGATTTTGATGAGTTCAAGATTAAAGTTAAGGGCGTCAGTGTAGACTCTATGCTTACCGAAGACGTGCGTAGGAAGTATTATGAGCTTTGCCTCACTTGGGACTCTTACCTTCATAATCTTCTTCTTAAGAGCATCAACTATATATTAGCAACTGGAATAATTTTTGAGACATTAAAAATTGCTGAATATATAAGCGGGTGAAACCTCCAGCGATGATTTTGCAACGTGGGACAAGACATTGGAAGGAATTGAAGGTTTTTTGCGTTCTTGGTTAAGCTATCTTATGAGTCTTGCTGTAGAGATAAGAGAGACCTGAATCAAAGAGGTGTGCTAGAAGCTAAATTTGAGCGAGATTGTGTGGAGGAGGAGATTCATACTCTAAAACTGAAGCTATGGGAGCTTAAACAAGCAAAAAGGAAGCTTGATATTGACATAGATGTTCTGAAGGCGGAGTTTCATAGATGTGAGCCGATGGTCATAATATCTGCAACAGCAAGAACCTTTACGAGGGTGTATAGTATCTTTTTAAACGATCATACAATGTCGACCATGAGCTCGGCTGCATTATCTAGTTAACCAGTCTTTTCGGATGTTTGTTAGTACAAATAATTAGGTGCTTTCGTGTATTTCTACTGCAGTTTGATAGCAATGCAGCAACAAATATTACAATTATTGTACCTTTTGGAATCCTTGAAAAGAATGGTTGTATTGACTTCATTATTCTGTTAAAGAAAACTAGGCTCTGAAGACATTAAACTGCAGAAAAGTCGTTTGCACTTCTCAAGTTTTTTTTTTTTTTTTTCCTAAACTTTCAATTAATTAATACATTCTATTTCTACCTCTTATGCCGATTTTTCTATAAATATTATGCTAATTTATCTTCAAATATAAGACAGATGTTTAATTGAAATTTTGTATTTGTAATTTATTTGCTTATTTAAAAATACAAGAAACATATAAGTCTTTTTACGGTCTCTTAACAATTTTTTAAAACTAAAATAGGTTGTATAAGAGACATGATTCTAAAAAGCACGTCTAGGTACTGATCTTTGTTTTACAACCTAATTAATGTTTTTCCTTTTTTCATATTTAAGTTTCGTCTAGGCTCGGACTTTAGATTCACAAGCTTGACTTTTCCATAGGAATAATGCTTTGTGTACAATCCATGGTTGACAAAGAATTTGATAATCCATGTTAATTCAAATTCGAATGGGTGGGAAAGTATGTGGTGTTTAAAAATTGGTCACTCACCCTTCAACACGAGGCACATTGTCAAACTTGGTGTCAAAAAAATTGTACATGTAGCATGGTTGTTTCCATATACGGCTTTTAGAGACTCTTTCTGAATGTGATGATATACAGTTTAGTGACCAAGTAGTAACGTGTGAGAAAGTTTAGTGACGAGTCGAGTCAAATGATCAATCCACCCACTTT